AAAGTAAAGTTTTCAGAGGATTCTGCCTGAACCCCAAAAGTAAAATTTTCAATTTTTTTTACAATTGTAAGAACATAAATATAGAATTTAAACTTCTTTTGAATATCATTTTCGGGATATATCTCCGAATACATGTATAAACACTTGGTAAAATATAGTATAAAAAGGGTTTTATCGTGCCTTATCAGATAAGTCACAACCCTTCAGAAAAATCACAACCATTCGAAAATGTCATAACTCATCGAAAAAGTCACAACTCTTTAAAAAAGTCACAACCCTTCGGAGAAGTCACTACCCATCAATGTGAAAAGGCTTTAGTAATATAATAGAGAACAAATAAATAAATAAATACGTGTTTTAAGTTGGGGGTATTATAGCCATTTAACATTCAAGTTAGGGATGTTCATGCTTTTAAGGTAGTATATAAGTCTATAAATTTATCGATTTGGTTTAGTTTTTTTATTTATTTATTTTTGATAAAACCAATCCAAATTAAGTATTATCATTTTAAAATTAATTGACTTGAACTACTGGTACTGAATAGGGTTAGAGTAAACAATTAATTGACTTGAACGACTGAAAATAACATAACTGGTTCAATACATGAATATGAAGTGAAACCATTTCAACTTTACAATAAGATATACAATAAAAGCAACATGAAAATAATATACTTTACCTTGTGGGGAGTTTCTCTGACCTACAACCATTACCATGAGCCTAGAAATGATACAACATTTTGCCCATGTTGCAAGGGCCATCCTATACCTTGCCAGGGTATAGGATGATATTGTGACTATGGATCCATCTAATAAGCCTTCTCAGAGGTAGTGAGGAGTCACATGAAGAATCAATGGTATCCTATCCTACATTGGCTACGTAGTTTTATGAGACTTGCGAGTTATAAAAGACTTTAACTCAATTCGGTGCTCAATACTACGCCCCAGGGATTGAATTGCTGAAGTCAGGCCTTGGAGCACTACTGGCACGTCACGCCAGGGCCTAAACTACAGAGCAATAGTCTTGGCAGTATGGGTGGTGCGCCGCCCCAGCCCCTACCCACAAAATCTGCTGAATTTTTCTTCTCAATTTCAGGTCCTAACTCATCTAGAAGCGATTGGTTCTTTCCAAATTATCTTTGATTCACAAACCCAACATGAATTCACTGAAATCCCACGCAAAATCTACCAAGAAACAACACTTATTCGTAGGAACCTTGCCTCAAGAACTCAAAACCACCATTGTTTAAGAATGGGGCTAAAACTCAAGAAATCTTCAAGAATCTTTACATAAACTATTTTATGGACTTATTAATCAAAGAGTTACATATTTGGCATGAGGACAAACAAGTCCATCACTATGGGTAACCTCACATACCTAGAAAGAATGATTTTTCTTGGCGAAATTACTCAACTCTTGAGTGAACACTTGAAAACCCTCTTTTCCTCTTCTTGAAACATAGCCCTAAAGTTCTAAGTATTTAGGAATATGAAAAAATAACGTAGTGTTTGATTAGACCCCTAAATTCGGTGGATAAAGCAAAGTCTAGCCTAGTGGGTTAAGGAAAAGATCAAAATACTTATTTCCTTAAATGGATGAAAAGTCTTAACTAGAGAGGTTTCACTCAAACACCCATAACATTTTACTCGGAGCTCGGAATTTGGAAAACTTGGCGTTGAAAAGGGGACTCAAAGACCTTCAATTTGATACCTCATGGGCCACCTAACTATTTATGTGCTAAAAGATATAGTCATTTGAAGTTGACCTAGTGTTATCCTTTTATGTTCTCTATATATATGTAATTAGGATTAGTTATTTGTGTTATGTAATAAAGAATCAGAACTACTATTTTCTGGAGTTTTTTCCTCCTGTACGAAAAACTTTATTGGCATATTTGTGTGTAAGATACTTGCACAAACTATCGCTAGTAAATCTACTTGCTTTGTTTTATTTCTTCGGTTCTCTACTTTTTGTTACTATCAATTTACATTATTCCAAAGGGAAGGTGTTAGGAACCCTTCTAAATCCACATAATATGGTATCCGACTTAATTTATCAAAGAGAGAGATTATAAAATTATTATTTGCACGTATAACATACGTATATAAAAAAATATACTAAAATCATATAATAATATATGTATAAAAGAGTATATATCACTCAAATAATGTATATTATTGTAAAAAGTGTGTATAGAAATGTCTAAAAGATGACATAAATGTATATAAAATATGTGAGAAAAAAGGGTACCTTTTATGCAATGCTAAAGGAGTACTATTTATTAATATGGAAAGAAAGGAACTTCTAACCTTATGAAAATAAAAACACCTTTTGCATTGTGTGGAAAAATACAGTTTTATTGAAGAAATAGTATTCTCAAATAATATATATTTTTTACCTTAAAAAATCGACGAGAAACTAGATTACAAATACTAAATAAAATAAATATTACTTTAAAGAAAAAGACGGTGTAATATTATGTTAATAAATATATATATATTTATTTATTTATTTTGCCTAGGCGTGTAGCAATAGATTTTGTAATTTGAGGATACCTCTGTCCGATGCCCAAAAAGTAAAGTTTTCAGAGGATACCTCTGCCTGAACCCCAAAAGTAAAATTTTCAATTTTTTTTACAATTGTAAGAACATAAATATAGAATTTAAACTTCTTTTGAATATCATTTTCGGGATATATCTCCGAATACATGTATAAACACTTGGTAAAATATAAATGAATAAATAATTATTTATATAAGTGAAAAATATATCTATGTATATATATATTACAAAAAATATAATTTTACTGTAGAGTAGACTCGGATATGTAACTCTACAAACGCTTAGATATGCCATGGCTACGAAATGGTTGCTCTTATAATCGGCTCTCCAAAATCACCTCGCCAAGATACAAATGTAAAATTTTTTATCTTGTCCTAATACTATATAGTTTCGTCATCGTCCAAATTTATATATTTTTTTGCTATAAATGTGTTTGAATGTCTTTTAATTGTGGAGGCCTCAAAAGTTGACGGATACTTTTTCATTGGCCAAATGTATAGCGCTTGCAAATGTTTAAAAAAATGTAAATAACATTAGTTAACAAAAATATGTAGATAAAGAGATATGTGAGGTGTTATGATAATGTTGGTACGAAAAATATAAAAGAAAATGCTTGTAAGTATAACGAAAATGTATACAAATTTGTAAGGAAAGTCAAGGACATGTAGAAACAATGTAAATAATGTTTATAAAATATAAATAAAATAAATAATATATGTAGAAGTGTAAAGATAATGTATGAAAAAGTAGAAACTGTTGTAAAACTAAGGTGGATGTCCTGTGGGGCCACCCATTTGGAAAGTGTCATAACCTGCAATGTTAAATGGTTGTCATGTGGGGTCACCCATTTCCTAAGTGGCATCACTTGCAATGTTAAATGAATGCCATGTGAGGGGCCACCCATTTGAAGACTACCATCACTTGGCCAATTAGATAACTTCTTAATTGCCAAGTAATAGTTTGTACATTACTTGTTGGCTATAAATAGCCATTACTTCATTCACGAAAATAAATATATATAGATTGCAACACATTACCCTCTCTCTTTTCTTATTCTTATTGTCAATTTAGTTTATTAATATTAGTTTGCTAAACTAGTTATTTATAACATGTTATCAGCACGAGACTCCGGCAACTCGAGTTACCATAAATAGGTAAAATGGGTAAGGATGTTATTTTTCAAAAAATGTCTACTATTTCTAAACTTGATTTTCTTGCCTTGGATATATCGAAAAAATGATACTCGTCAAAGATACTAGACGCTGAAATCCACATGGATGCGATGGTTTAGTAGACACCATCAAAGATAATTACCAGGCATCCCACCAAGATCGTGCCAAAGCTATGATATTTCTCCGCCACCATCTTGACAAGGGGTTGAAAATGTAACGCCTCACTATTAAAGACCCCCTTATACTTTGAATAATTTGAAAGATATATATGACCAACTGAAGTTGGTCATTCTTCCAAAAGCGCGTCATGATTTGTTCAATTTTAGGTTACTAGACTTTAAAAGTATAACTAATTATAATTCTTCCATGTATAGAATTATATCAAAGTTAAATTACGCGGAGAAGATGTCACTAAACATGCTAAGCTTGAGAAAACATACTCCACATTTCCTGCCTCGATTATGCTCCTGTAGTAGCAATATCGAGAAATGGGTTTTAAAAAATATTTTAAATTACTTTCACATCTTCTTATTACTGAACAACATAACGACCTATTGATGAAAAATCATTAATGTCGACCCGTTGGTTCTATGCCACTCCCTGATGTGAATCAGGTAAATTATCACCATCGAGAAAGAGGGGAGAGTTGGCAAAATAGCCACCTTAAAGACTTAATGTGACATTAAGTCACAAGACTTGAATAATTTGTGGTATACCCACTATTAATGACATCATCCACATGCCCTAATTGGCACATACAAAAGACCTCACTATGTTTCCATATCTCCACTTTGGTCCCCCCCCCTTCTTTTCCAACTAATTTGGAATAATATATATCTATTTGCATTTGTTAAAAATTATATTAGAAAAACAGAAAAAAGCCAAACGGGAAAGAAGAGCAGCTCATTTTTGCTGCTGTCGAAACTAACGATTCCAGCGAGTTTTCCAGCCAAAATATCCATTTTCAAGGTAAAATCATCATCATCTCTTACTCCATTTTCATTTTTACTCCATTTTCTTTCAAAAACCAAGCTTCAAAATGACTTTCCCGCCATTTTAGAAATTTGAGAAATCTTTCATAATAATCACTTGATAACTCATTATAGATACATTTTAGTAGTTTAAAAGCATTAAGAATCTGTTTCGCCATTGTAGGAGCTGAATATTGAACCACGATCTCATTTAGTCGCGTTTCTGTACGGATGCCAAACTTCATTGATCGTTAACGACTGATACTGTATTCTAGTAACTGTCTTTGTAGTCTATAATGGCAGTAGCTGAATTTATTGTTGTTGGTGGTGATTATATGGGAGTATGGGAGGAGACTCCCTAAAGCTGGAATTGGAAATCTTTTAGTAAGACGACAGTGCCCATTGTGTTGCGCCGCAATGGTTCATACGAGGGCGTGTTGTTGAGCGTTGTTGCACAAGATACGGAAAATCATGTTTATACAATTGATTATTGTGTCGTGGACAAAGAGAATGATGCATCTTGGACATTCTTCTTTGAGAAATTGAAGGAGATTGTGGTCGATGAACCAGATTTGTGCTTTATTTCCGATACACACAAGAGCATCACCAACGAAATTGTGAATGTTTACAATCATGTTCACCACAGATATTGTATGAGGAACCTCGGTGAAAATCTCTGTGTAAATCATCATTGTGGAGATTACCTTTATCTTTTCTACAATGCGGCAAAGGTTTATTCTTTGAAGGAGTTTGACAATCATTTTGTAGAATTCAAGAACAAATGTCTCGCGGCAGCCGTTGTCCTTGAGTATGATATTGGTTTTGAGAAGTGGAGTAGGAAACATTTTCCTGGCAATAGATATGATGTGATGACCACAAATATCGCTGAGTCACTCAATGCTATGTTGATAGACGAAAGAGAGTATCCCATGGCATCAATATTTAATTTGATTGCTAAGAGATTTGGAGAATTGTTCAGGGAGAGGCATGCATATATCCTTAAATCAATGGGTAATCAAATGGTGCCTTCTGCCAAAAAAATCACAAGAAAGAAAATGATCGAGGGCAACTCCTTATATGTAGAGAACGTAACCGGGGACGGCAATCAATTTACCTTGTTCAGTGCACGTGTTACTGCCTATGTGGACCTACTGGAAAAGTCATGTTCTTGTAGGGAATATGACTTGATCAAGATAACTTGTACTCACACAATGGTCGTTTTGCGATCGAAGCATGACAATGAGTATGGTATGAGCATTTATGAGTACTCTTCTCCTTTGTATAAAGTTGAATCTTACCTCCTTGTATACTTAGATTCTATTAATGTTGTCCCTCTCGAGTCGGAATGGTGTGTGCCAGAAAAATTTCTTAATGTGAAGATTATTCGCCTCTTGTCGATACCAAGCTTAGAAGAAAACGTGTCAAAGGTGTCCGGTGAGAATTTCAAAAGCAAGAGAATGAACAAATGTTCAATTTGCAAGAGAACCGGACACAAGAGAACCACATGTGTGAACAACAACAAATCTTAATTAAGCTTGGTTGAATTTGTTAATTCAATTTGTTTTTGTAATCAATTTTTGTAATCAAGCTACTATTTTTTTTGCTGCCAGCATTTTGGCCAATTTATTGTCATCTATTATCGTAATTACTCATGATCTAATATAGATCAATCAAAAGATGACATACATTTTGTACACTGTCTATTAAGCTGTGCATTATTAATACATGATAATTATTAATATATGAAAATTCATGGTATTCGTAATGCAATGATTTTAATGCATGAATTAGAATATGATTAAAGAAGGAAGTGCTTTAAAAAATTGTGACTATTTTTAATGCACCAAATCAAACGATGCTTAATAAACAATCTAAGTATAACTAATTCAACTATAACTAATAAAAGCATTATTTGCATATACATTCTACCAAACGAATCATTAAAGAATTGTCAAAAATACAGATGTTACCATTGAAAAAAGTAGCAATTTGAACTTTCTTTACCTTTGTAAACTTTGTGTAACGACTGGGAAAATGATAGGTTGAACTAGAGCCTTAACGTTTGGGTTAGTGTGACTTTAGGTTGATGTGTAGGCTGTGTTAGAACCTAAATGGAGCAAGATGGAATCCTAGGGTGCAAGCAAGGTCCTAGACTAGCAAGATAGGGTGAAAGAAGCCTTGTTCCTTAAGGGGCTGTTTGGCAATGGGGCTGTTTGATCGCCCAAGGGGTTGGGCGAGTCTCCCTTGGGCTCTTGTTCTCGCCTAGTGGCTGCCCCATTTGGATAAGATGCAGGACCAAAGGGCGAGCTAGCTTCAAGCTCGCCAACCTTCTTGGCGTGTCACCCATTTCCCCTCTAGTCCGCCAAGTGGACTACCCAAAATAGTGAGCTCACTGGAAATTCGGGCGAGCCAAGGGTGCACTTGGCGAGTCGCCTAGTGCACTTGGCGAGCCTAAGTGTCCAAAGGGCGAGTTTAGGCGGGAAAGGGGCAGATTTTTAAGTTGTAACTTTAAGGTCCTTAGTTCTTTTCCTAAGTTGAGTCCACCTTATTCTATTCCTTTCCTAGCAACTATAAAACCTTTTTAGACCTAAATCCTTTCATTTAACTCACTCCAAATAGAATCAAAAGAAAATCCACCTCCTCTCAAATATTTCTCTCACTAGAAATCCTTCATTAGAGAAGAAGAAGAAAAAGGAAGCCATTGAAGCTAGGGTTTGGTCATTCCGAAGTGGTTCTTCCTCAAATTGCTTGGGGATTCTTAGTAAAGGTATGGTGGTCTTGATCCTTGTCTAAATTTCCATTCAAGGAGCCAATTCAAACATTATTTCAAATCATAAAAAAATCTATGGTTTTACTCAATCTCATGGGTTCTTCCATCAAACATTTTCAAATGGTTTCTAATGATAAGTTATGATTGTATTGGTGTTTAATTATTGAGTTATGATGAAAATACTCTATGAACCCATGATTTCTCTCAATTCCTAAATTGTGCCTTTCTGAAGTGGGTTTATTGACCATGAATGAATATTGATGGATTATGCCTAAATTGATTTAGATTGTTAAATTGTATCATTATACATGCCTTAATTGTAGTAAATTGTTGGTGTGTTGGTGACTTTTGATTATGGCCTTGAAAGGGCAAATTATGACCTAATTACTTGTTGAAGTAGAATTATGCTTGAACTCTTGATCGACTGGAAAGATGGAGGTGTTTACTTACTATGCATAATGTGATGTAAAGATGTGCGTGATTACTATGAATGTATTGTGATAATGTTTAGAAGGCAATTGTATGAATGATAATGATTTTGTGAGAGGCTTTTCTCACACACATACATTTGAATGAAGAATGAATGAAGTTCAATGATAATGTTAATCATGAAGTACTTAATGAAAGGCTATTCTCAATTGTACTCTAATGAATGATAATGACCTGTTGTGAAAGGACTTTCTCACAATAAGAAGATTCTTAGGTGAAATGATATTCTCATCTTTGAATCTATGAGCTTTCTAATGAATGAATTAATGTTGTGTTTGGGATGGATGCTCATCCGGGAGTTGAGGCGAAATGTCTAGTAACAATCCCTTATCCCATAATGAATCTAATGTACTCCGTGGGGAATAATGCTAAGCACCAAGAGGATATGGTTGAGATGGGTGCTCATTCGTGAGTTGAGGCGGGGTACTTAGTAGCAATCTCTTGAGATGGATGCTCATCCGTGAGTTGAGGCGGGGTATCTAGTAGCAACCTCTTGAGATTGATGCTCATCCGTGAGTTGAGGCAGGGTGTCTAGTAGCGATCTCCCTATCCCATAACTATGTGTCCACATAGGTCTATCTAGTGAATCCACTTAAGCTAAAGAACAATGGTCCTACCTTAGGCAAGTAGGAATCCCTTATCCGGTGAGGGTGACACCGGGATTCCATGTCAAGCTCATATGGTCTATGTCAGTTAAGGCCTACCCCCACAAAGAATGTTAATGAACTATGGCTTCTTAAGAATGCACTACTTAGTGTGGGTGGTGGTATGGGACGCCATCTATGCATTGCACA